ACTGTTTGGTCTTGCAACCAAAAATCGAACTCAGCCTCTCAATCTAGCAAACCTCCTTGTTACAAAGAGCAAAGGCATTTTGCAGTTTAAATCACTGCACTGAGATGTCTGAGCCAAAGGAGTTAGTTGGTACTGATTCCTGAGAATGAAAACTGCAGCCTCTCCATTCATGCTCAGCATTCTACAAACGTCATCCCTTTAAAAGACTTAAATACAAAAGTAAACACTAGTTTTCACACACATCACTGAAAGTGGGGTGAAAATAAGCAGTCTGAGTCTTACAAACGCCGAGCACGATGAAAAAGGACACCACGGGCCGCGCGTTTAGATTAAGGTTTGGGCTTGGGCACTTCATCTAGGCTAAGGCATACCTACCTTTTAAACCACATGATTTCCTCTGGGTCTGCGATGCCAAACTCCCTCATCTTCTTCACCATGGTGGCACTCTTCCTAACAGCCACCTCGTAACGCTGGCTGCGAGTCAGGAAGTTCAAGTCCTCGTGCTGAAAGTCTGGGTCATTCAGGATCAGGTTCTCTGGAAGGGAGCGAGAGGGCATCAAGAGGAAGACAGGAAGACAAATTCAGGGCTCCGTCACACCTCCCTGAATCCCAGCGGGTTTTCGGGGCGCGGGCACGGGTGCCCCTCTCGGGAGGGACGACGCCCCTCACCCCGCCACAGGCCGGCCCCGGGAGTGCGGGTCCCGGCTTCCCCAAAGCTGAGCCAGGCGCTGCGGCCCAGGCTCCACAGCGCCCCCCCACCCCCCGCCCGACTCCTCATGGAGCGAGTCTGGAGCCACGCTCGGGGAAGGAGGGAGGCCCGGCCGCGCCGCCCTCACCGATCTCTCGGCGGCGCCGGGTGCTCTCGGGGCTGCCGTCCAGGACGTGAGTGAGCAGCTCCGGGTTGAAGCTGGCGGCTTCCCGCTCCCTGCGAAGATCCTGGTTCATGGTGGCGACACGCAGCGGCGGTGGCGGCACAGGTCGAAAGGGTGGCGGCGGCGTCGGCGGCGACGGCTGTCCGCAGCTCCAGCGCGGGTCGGACCCTAAGAGCAGCCCCAGGACCGCGCGAGGCCCCGCCCCCGTTCGCCTCGGCCCGCCCCGGCCCGCCCCTTCTCCTTCACCGCGGCCGGTGGGCGCGCTAGCGACCGCGGCGGAGGCGGAGCGGCGCCGGCGCGGGCGGGGTGACCGTACCCGGCTGTGGGGAGGGCGAGTCCTCCGCTCTCGTCCAGGGGAGTCCTAGAGCGGCGCCCCCGGGGAGGCAACCCCGGAAGACCGTCAAGAAATTGCCCGGGGGGGCGGGGAGGGAGGAAAGCCAGGCGCTCCTGGTAACCCGCCCCTCTCTCGTCACGCGACCGCGCGAGGCGGAAAGAGGGAACCCGAGGCGGCCGCGACGCCGCGACGCCGCGACGCCCGCGACGCCGCGACGCCCCGACAGGTTGGCGAGGAGGTAGGGAAGGGGCGGGACAACGCGGCTGAGGAGGATTGCGCCTGCGCTTGGGACTTGTCGGTCCCGCCGCTTCCGGGTCTGCCTGTGGAGGCCTCCCGAGGGCTGAAGGTCATTGGTGGGGGCGGGGGGTGGAGGTGGTTTAACTTACGGGCCACGCGGCGCTGCTGGGAAGGGTTGTCGTAGGGTTTCCCCAGACTCTCCCAAATTGGAGAAAAAAAGGAGGACGAAAGTCGCCCTGGGAAGAGGCCTCTAGTAATCTTTTGTTAAGATAATGGCATTCTTGCTGCCAGAAGCATTGGCTTCGGGGAGCTGGGTGTGGGATTGCGGGCCCTCCTCCCCATTTAGGGGGTGGGTGTGGACCAGAATGTGGCCGAGCTGGCCGTTTAGAAGTCTTGGAATCCAGACTTTGTTGCTTTCACAGTTACCACTGTCGTCATCAAAGCAATAGATGTCCATGTTTAGGAAACCTAGTATCGGAGAATTTGTAATAAAAAGGAAAAGCTCCCCATCCTCGGAGGCAGCCACTTCTAACCAGTTGTGTTTTTAATTCTGATTACATAAAATACATGCTAGCTCTTGATTTGTTTTAGTTACCTTTTGACTTAATACTTAATGAAGATAGAGCACACGACACCATCTCCTTTATCTCTCCCTAATATACCCTTATAACTTCAGCATACGAATCCACTGTTTTTTTAAAACTGAACTTCATACTCTTGTTATTTATTGCATCAGTTTTTAGTAACAGCCCCGGGAATACGGTAAGGTAAATGAGGCATTCACCTCCGATATAATTTAAGGGAGCACTAATTAAGATGAATAAAGACAAGATCATTATTACTGATTTTTCCTTTTGCCCCAGACTCCAATATATCAGGGCAAGGCACTGTTACTGATTATGTTTTTAATGCCCCCTGGCATTAAAATATTTAGTTTGGCTGCTGTGTTTGGATTTAGTCCTCTTGTCAAAAGCTCCCTCTCCAAATACCACCAACACAACATCATAAGACAAAGGTGAGGTGATTGCTTACTCAGGTAAGGAAAAACACTTGGCAAACCTTAGGCATGTCTAGGAGAAGGTAAGGCCAGAATTTATTGAGAGTTGGAAGTTTAGTCTAAGGCGTGTCTTTCATTTCAGGACTGGGTAAGAACCTCTGTACAACAGTAGAAAATTGGTGGAAACACCAAGGTGAGGGAATTCAGATAACCTCAGAAGGCAAACTGGCTGTTAATGGTTAAATCATTTGCCTGGGCTGGACAGTCAAGAAGAGTTAAAAAAAAAAAAAATGCTAATGAAGGCGTAGGACCACAAAGTTCTGTTAATGTAGGCAATAAGATGTGGTTTGGGTTCTCTGTGTCCAGGCTGAGTGTGGGGGTAGATGATCTTCTTCATGAATACATTAATCTATTCAATAAATATTTAATAATGGCCAGCCACGGTTTTAGGCACAGGGGATACTGTGAGGATTAATGCCCTCATAGAACTGAAAATCTAGTGGGAGACAGAGGCATTAAAGAAGTAAACAGATCACACTCTGAAATTCTATTACTTGAAAACTACAATGAAGAAAATAAATCAAGCTAAGGGAATAGAGGGACTGGGGGTGGTGGAGAATGCTAATTTAGATAGGGTGGACAGGAAAGGCCTTGCTGAGGAGTCGGAGGATGAACTGAGACCTAAATAGGGAAAGAGAACCAGTTATGTGAAGGTCTGGGGAAGACTGCTCAAGTCTGAGGAAAATCAAGTATGCAGGTCCTGAGGGTGAGCGTGAGCTAGAGAAGTGTGATGGCAAACGTGAGAGCTGAGAGGTAGGCTGGGTGCAGACCCCATGTGGCATTGTGGGCCAACACAAAGACTTTAAATTTTAATAGGAATTTATAATAGGAAGCCTTTAATTGATTTTCAGTGGCGTTTTGTGACCTGATTTACATTTTTAAATATTAATTGTGGAAATGTTCAAACATGTACAAAGGTAGAAGGAATAATACAATAAACTCCATCTACTTTTCACTCAGGTCCAATAATTATCCACTGTACCTTCACCCAATTCCCCTCCATGTTAACTTTAAGCAAATCCGATATCATATCCATAAAGACTTTTAGTATGTATCTTTAAACTATTTTTAACACAGTCCCAATACCATTATCACAATTGGAAATATTAACAAAAATTTCCTGTGGTCATTACAATCAATATTCGAATGTTTCATTAAAAATGGTCTACAGTTAGTTAGTTCAAATCAGGGTCCAAACAAATTCTGCACGTTGCATTTGGTTGATAAGAATCTTAAGCCTCTTTTAATGTATAGGTTTCCACTGTACAATTTTTTTCTTCAACTTATTTGTTGAAAAAGCTAGGTCAAGCGGCACCTGAGTGGCTCAGGTCTTGATCTCAGGTTCACACCCAGTGTGACCTTAAAAAAAAAGAAAGAAAGAAACAGAAGAAAAAGGTAGGTGATTTTTGGCATTGAATTTCCCACAATCTGGATTTTACCATCTCTGTGATGTCTTTGATTTGTTCCTCGGTTTCTGTATTTTCTGTAAGCTGTTGGTTGTATGTAGAGGCATTGTTAGATTCAGACTTGAGGTTCTGGCAGAAAGTACTCCCTGTGGCATAGTTTCCATTTTAAAATACCTCTCTGGTTGTTCTGAAGAGAGTGAGCAATAGAAGGAAAATAGTGGAAACAGACCAGTTTTAAAGCTAATGAAAGCTTGCACTGTGGAGGGAGTGAAGTGCATAGATTCAATATGTATTTTTTTTTAAGATTTTATTTATTAATTTTTGAGAGCAAGAGTGAGAGCACGCATGAGCGGGGGGTGGGGGGCACAAGGAGAGGCAGACTCCCCGCTGAGCAGGGAGCCCAGTGCGGGGCTCAATCTCAAGACCCTGAGATCATGACCTGAGCCGGATCATGACCCGAGCCGAAGGCAGATGCTTAATGACTGAGCCACCCAGGTGCCCCTACAAGAAGATTCTTATCTCCAAGAAAGAAACCCAAAACTGATAAAAGCTATCATGAACTTAGTTACAGGTATTACTTTTCTGACCTTCAGTCCTACTATAGAAATCTTACCAGTTGCTTCGGAAAAAAATGAAAGAAGCAGTCAGATCGGGTCACCATCCTTCCCATCCTTCCTGTATGGTATTTTTCAAAATTTCCCAGTCATTAAAAAAAGAAGCCTATTTCTCTTGTTCATACTGTGGATTTTTCTCCCAGCAGTGGATGTTTTGCCTTGGGGAATGGAAAGGGCAAGGCTCTACAGTACAGGTTATACCATTACTCAAACTGAAACCAGGCTAAACCATAAGAAAAGCCAGCCTTGATACATCTCAGAAACTTTCTTCCATGTCTGATGTTATATGGATGATTTACTGAGCCAGCTGCGCTTAAGGAAATTAACAGAAATGTCTTAATAAACACATAGCAACTTTTGCTTGAAAAAAAAAAAATCGGGTGGGGCACCTGGGTGGCTCAGTTGCATGGGCGTCTGGCTCTTGGTTTCAGCTCAGGTCGTAATCTAATGGGTTGTGGGATTGAGCCCTGCGTAGGGCTCTGCACTCAGCGGTGAGTCTCCTTGATGATTCTCTCCCTCTGCCCCTCACCCCCCCAAAAATCTTTAAAAAATAAATACAATAAAATAAAATATAAACTGGGGTACCTGGGTAGCTCAGTCAGTCAGGTGTCTGCCTTTGGCTCAGGTCATGATCTCAGGGTCCTGGGATTGAACCCTTAATCAGGCTCCCTGCTCAGCGGGGAGTCTGCTTCTCCCTCTGCCCCTCACCCGCTCCTGTGCGCTTTCTCTCTCAAATAAATAATAGATAAAATCTTTAAACATAAAGAAATAGATGAATGAATAATCAATGATGGGGCACCTGACTGGTTCAGTCAGAAGAGCATGCTATTCTTGATCTCAGGGTTGTGGGTTTGAGCCCCGTGTTGGGCATAGAGATTACTTAAATAAATAAATAAACTTGAAAAAAAATCAGTGAGGTTGAAATTTGCAAAAGCATATACCCCTCCAAAGAGTCAATTCTACTGTATGAATAAAATAAAAAATAAAAATAAATTTAATGACATAGTTATTTATAGCTTAGCTTATAGTATATGTGGTACTTGAGAGTAGAAAAATTACTTTCTTTCAAGATTTATTTATTTTAGATGGGGAGGGGGTGGGGGGAGGGATAGAAGGAGAGAATCCTTAAGTAGACTCACCACTAAGGACAGAGCCCAATGCAGGGCTCAAGCCTGGGAGCCTGAGATCACACATGACCTGAGCAGAAACCAAGAGTCGGACGCTTAACCGACTAAGCCACCCAGGTACCCCTACAAAAATTACTTTTTAAAAAAAGGGTAAGTTTTTACCTTTTTGCTAGATGGGACAGAATTGTCCCCATTATCCCAAAACAGGAACCAATACAGTTTTTTCTTCTCTTGGCTGATTTTTGGTTTTGCTTTGTTTTGTTTTTTGCTTCTCTCTCATGCCAAAGATGATTTGGGGGCTCTCTCATTTCTGGAGCCAGGAATGGCTCCGTTCCCTGGTCGCAGGGATATAGAACATCTGCACTTAGGGCAATAGGACTAGGCCTTGGCCAGTTGCCCCTATGCTGTTGTTCTGACTTGAAATGATCCTTGAACATTGACCAGTGACAGTGCCTGATGACCTCGTTAGAGGATACCAACACCTGTTATGCAAGGTTCTAAGTAACATTAAGTTTCTTTTACCTTTTTTTTTTTTTTTTTTTAATTAAGTAGGCTCCATGCCCAGTGCAGATCCCAATGTGGGGCTTGAACTCACGACCCTGAGATCAAGACCTGGGCTGAGATCAAGAGTCAGACGCTTAACCAGCTGAGCCACCCAGGCGCCCCTGACATTAAGCTTCTGTGCTAAAGCTGTATCATCTGGCTTCTGCAAGGATCTTACTTGGGATGATTTCATTGACATTTCCTATGTTTCTGTCTCCCTTGGCTTAGCCTGTTAAACAGTTGAAGCCTATCACCTTCAGGGTCCCTTCGTCACTGAATAATTATTCCTGAATCCGCACTTCTCTAACATTTTCTACACGTGGATCCTCATGTTCTGGAGTGTTCTTTCACACATACACAGATGTACATATTTAATGTACATGCCTGCTCCTTACCTTTTTTCCTGATGGTCTATCTTGGCGATCTTGCCATATGAGTGCATACAATGCCTCATCTTAAAAAGCCTGCCAAGTGTCCTTTGCATTATTATCACATGACTTATTAAACCAGTGTTTTCTTTCTCTTTTTAAAATTACTAACAAAACTCATAACCCTAGTCTAACCATGAGAAAAACATCAGACAAACCCAAATGGAAGGGTGCCATCCTGGCACCCCCGGGGTCTTCATTTTTTTTTTTTTTTAATAACCTTTTTATTTTAGAATAGTTTTAGATTTATATTTAAAAAACCAAACCTGTAGGGGCATCTGGGTGGCTTGGTCAGTTGGGCGTCCAACTCTTGATCTCAGCTTGGGTCTTGATCTCAGGGTCATTGGTTCAGGCCCCCCACTGAGTTCTGCGCTGGGTGTGGAGCCTACTAAAAAAAAAGGAAAACTCACTTTATGTACAATTATGAAAGAATGTCAGAATATATTGGGACATCTGGGTGGCTCAGTTGGTTAAGCATCTGCCTTCAGCTCAGGTCATGATCCCAAATCCTGGATCAAGTCCCGCATCGGGCTCCCTGCTCGGCAGGGAGTCTGCTTCTCCCTCTCCCACTCCCCCTGCTTGTGTTCCCTCTCTCGCTCTCTCTCTGTCAAATAAATAAATAAAATCTTAAAAAAATACACTAGGTGAAAAAAAATCAAAATACAGAACAGCATATATAGTATAGAGAGAGGGAAGGGGTTAGGCACCTGGTGGCTTAGTCGGTTAAACATCCTACTCTTGATTTCAGCTCAGGTCATGATTTCAGGGTCATGAGATTGAGCCCCGAGTCTGGCTGCACGCTGTGTGATGGGTGTGGAGTCTCCTTGAGATTCTCTCCCTCTGTCCCTCCCCCACCCCTGCTCGTGCTCGCTCTCTCTCAAATAAATAAATAAAATCTTAAAAAAAAAAAAAAAAGAAATTTAGAGTATAGAGGGGGAAATAAGTATCTTTGTTATTGTTTGCATAATGAAACCCTGGAAGGTTACATAAGAAATAAATAAAATGATTTTCTTTAAGGGCCAGGGTTGGCAAACTTCAACACAGATCAGATCCAGCTCATTGCATGTTTTTGTAAATAAAGCTTAAGGAGCAAGCCTCACTCGTTTCTCTCTGTATTGTCTGTGACTGTCTTCATACTATTATGGCAGCATTGAATAGTTGTGACAGAGATGGTGAGATACTGTCTGTCCTTTTATAGACCCCTTTTTGGGGGCATCGGAGTGGGACGACAGTTCTCCACGTAGATTTTTTTTTTTTTTAAGATTTACTTATTTATTTGAGAGAGAAAGCATGCGTATGCATGGGGGGGTGCTTGTGGGGCAGAGGGGGAGAGAGAGAGGTTTCAAGCAGACTCCATGCAGAGCAAGGAACCTGACACGGGGCTTGATCTCACTCCCTGAGATCACGACCCAAGCCGAAACCCAAGGTTCCCACACCCAACAGACTGCATCTCCCAGATTATATCATTTTGCTTTTTTAGATTAGTGAATGGGGCACCTGGGTGGTTCTCGGCTCAGGTCATGGTCCCAGGGTCCTGGGATCAAGCCCCACATCAGGCTCCCTGCTCCGTGGGAAGCCTGCTTCTCCCTCTCCCACTCCCCCTACTTGTCTTCCCTCTCTCGCTGTGTCTCTCTCTGTCAAATAAATAAATTAATTAGTGAATGCATAACCGATCAAAAAAATTTTTAAATATCAAACTCCCACTCTTAAATATCTTTTTTTTAAAAGATTTTATTTATTTATTTGAGAGAGAGAATGAGATAGAGAGAGCATGAGAGAGGGGAGGGTCAGAGGGAGAAGCAGACTCACTGCTGAGCAGGGAGCCTGACACGGGACTCGATCCCGGGACTCCAGGATCATGACCTGAGCCGAAGATAGTCGCTTAACCAACTGAGCCACCCAGGCGCCCAAATATCTTTAAATATTAAAGTGCCACTGGAACTAGCCTTTCAGGTGTTGCTGGTCTCGGGTATCTGCTAATCTCAGTCTTGTGGTCTGCTTGGTTTGTCAGGAATCTTCAGAAATCCCACCCAGCTATTTGAGATGCTGCCCAAACCTGGGATCTATTACTTCCCCTGGGAAGTCAGTGCTGGCCAAGTGCCCAACGGGGGCACACTGAGAACATTCGGCAGGTGAGAATGGTTTTTTTCATAGGGTGGGGGGATGTTTCAGTGCCTCCCACACCCCCCCGCCAGAAAAAAAACAATTAAAATGGTGTTATTATAAGTTTGTCTAGTTTTTTTTTTTTAATTTTTGAAGTTTTATTTATTCAAGTAATCTCTACACCCAACATGGGGCTTAAACTCATGACCCCAAGATCAAGAGTCACACGCACCCCTGACTGAGCCAGCTGGGCGTCCCTTGTCAACTTATTTTTTAAGTGCTAAAACATTAATATGTTTTCAATGGAAAAAAGGTAGACAATCCATAAAAGTGTAAAGAAAGCAAGTGAAAATCACCCGTAATCCCTCTCTCTGGACAGCCGTTGCTAATCTTTTGGTGATTACTTTAGACACGCTCATGTATGGATGTACATGAATATGTGGATGGGTGTGTGTTCACACCACATATGTATAGTATCATTAGGGAAATGCAAATTAAAACTACAATGAGGTACTCCTATATGCCCACTAGAGTGGCTGAATTTAAAAAGACTATTGATGGGGCACCTGGGTGGCTCAGTCGGGAACATACGACTCTTGATCTCAGGGTTGTGAGTTCAAGCTGCGTGTTGGGTGTAGGGATTACTTTAAAAAAATAAAATCGTTAAAAAGAAAGAAAGAAAGAAAGAAACCAGGCCAAAAAAAATTAGATGTTGTATGGCTCCATTTACGTAAAAGTTTAGAAAATGCAAAAAAAATCTATAGTGGAAAAAAAAAGCAGGCCAGTTGCCTGCAAGGATTGCCTGGGTGTGGTGTGTTGGAGGAATATGAAAATGCAGGAGGGAACTTTTCAGGGTGATGAAGCGATGTGTTCATTATTGATTGTGCAGACAGTTGCTCAAGTGTATACAATGTCAAATGTCAAAGTGTGTACCGTAAATATGTATAGTTTATTATATTTCAGTTATACCTAAGTAAAACCAGAGGGGAAAAGCATATGTTACAGAATGTTAAAAAGGAGGAGGGCAAAGACTTGAACAGACACTTCACAAGAGAGGATATACATAACACTTAGCAGTCATACAGAAAGTAAATAATTTTGCATATGACAATTAAAAAAATATATATATATACACAAATGGATAATAAGCACATGAAAAGATGCTCAACATCATTAGTCACAGGGAAATGCAAATTAAAACCACAATGAGGGCACCTGGGTGGTTCAGTCGGTTAAGCATCTGCCATTTGGCTCAGGTCAGGGTCCCAGGGTCCTGGGATCGAGCCCTGCATCGGGCTCCCTGCCCTGCGGGAAGCCTGCTTCTCCCTCTCTCTCTGTCCCTCCCCCTGCTCATGCTCTCTCTCTCAAGTAAATAAATAAAATCATTTTTTAAAAAGATTTTATTTATTTGGCAGAGAAAGACACAGCGAAAGAGGGAACACAAGCAGGGGGAGTGGGAGAGGGAGAAGCAGGCTTCCCGGAGAGCAGGGAGCCCGATGTGGGGCTCGATCCCAGGACCCTGGGATCATGACCTGAGCCGAAGGCAGATGCTTAACGACTGAGCCACCCAGCACCCCTAAATAAATAAAATCTTAAAAAAAAAAGAAAAAACCACAACGATACGGTATTTTCATGCCCACCAGGACACTAGGATGGCTAAAATTAAAAAGACTGACCATACCAAGTACTGGCCAGAATGTGGAGTCACTAGAACGCTCACATGTTGCTGCTGGGAGTGTAAAATAGCACAACCACTTTGAAAAATAATTCAGCAATTTCTTTTAGAGTTTAACAGACAGGTTGACCATATAACTCTGCAGTCCCACTTGGGTATTTGCCTAAGAGAAATGAAAACATATGTCAGCAAAGAGATTTGTCTGCAAAAGTTCATACCAGTTTATTCATAATAGCCCAACACTGGAAGCAAACCATACAAGCTGATGAATGGATACACAAATTATTTTCAATAATTTCAACAGAGTGCTGTTGAACAATAGAAGGAATAAACCACTGATTTACCCAACAGCACAAATGAATCTCGAAACCATCACTCTGAGTGAAAGAAGCTAGACACAAAAGAATACATGCTGTTGTGATCCTATTTATATGAGGTGCTTGAGTAGGAAAACACACCTGTAGGGACCAAAAGCAGATCAGTGGTTGCCTGGCATGGGAGATGGGGAGATTGACTTCAGAGTAGTGGCACAAGGGAACTTTTGGGGTGATGGAAATGGGCCACATCTTAACTGGGGTGCTGGTTACATCAGTGTATACTTTTGTTAACACTCTTTAAACAGGTGCCTTGTAATGCATGTAATTTATATCTTTACAATGTAGACTGAAAACAATTTTTCTGACTTGTTGCTGCCATTTTTATTTCTCTGATCAGAGGCCCATGGGTATATTGGCCTCCCAGAACCTTTTGAGCTTTTTGTGTTTGTTCTCTTTGTGGGCAAAAATGATCACACTTTCTGTGACCTGCAGGTTGTGCCTCTATGATATGACCCAATCCCGAGTGACACTGAGAGCACAGCATGGATCTGACGAGCACCAGATCCTGGTCTGCACCAAGTTGGTGGAGCCGTTCCAAGTCCAGAAAGACTCCCTGTACCTTGTCCTTGGAGAGCTGGAGCATGAGGGTAAGCCATGGCTTCACATTCCCTTTTCACACTGGGTCCTGGGTGGGGCAGTCTTCAGGGACTGGGCCTGGCTTCTGACCCAACGGGGTCCCCCACGGGGCTAGCTTCCCTTCCAAATCAGCCCACAAGTTCAAGGACTCATGGGAAACAGATGTGATCGGGCTCAGTGGACCTGCTCTAGGGAAGCGAGAGAAGAAAGAAATCACTAATTTCTGAAGGCCCACCACATGCCAGGCCTGGTACTACACTGTTGGCTTCCATCTTTTTGAATTCGCCCACCAGGTCTTTAAACTGAGTCTTATTGTTGCCGTTCCATAGATTAGAAAACTAAGGCCAGGCGAGGGTGGAGCTGGAATAACAGGCCAGGAAGTCAGGGTAAGAGAAATAGAAGGGAAGGAATCCCAGCAACCTGGGAGAATCTCTCCGGCATCAAGAGTTGAAGGTTGCAGGGCGCCTGGGTGGCTCAGTCGGTGAAGTGTCTGCCTTCGGCTCAGGTCATGATCCCGGGGTCCTGAGATCAAGTTCCTGCATCGGGCTCCCTGCTTGGCGGAGAGTCTGCTTCTCCCTCTCCCACTGCTCCCCCCTCTCATGTGCTCTCTCTCTCTCACTGTCTATCTCAAATAAATGAATAAGATCTTAAAAAAAAAAGAGTTGAAGGTTGCTTTTTAAAACCTAGGTACTTGAATGAATTCTTTGTCTTTCTCTCCTGGCTACCCCTGTGTGGTCTTCCTTTACATGGTTGATACCATACTATGTAATGTATCTGGTTATTTAGGCTTCATATTGTATCATAAACATTTCCCCATGTTTTTAAAATTTCTGTAGATATGGTAATGTTTTATGGCTATATAATATTTTATAGATTAGATGTGTATCAATTTACAAGGCCATTGCACATTTATATTGTTTCCATTTTTTGCTCTTAAAAATATACTGTGCATTTACTGGTTAAAGGAATTATGGTATATTCAGTTAGTAGGATATTGTGCAGCCATTAAAAATGGTGCTGTAATTCCCAAAGAAATGCAAGGAATAATGTCACTCCCAAAGATTTGGAAGATGCATGTGTGGTAATTTCTTCACATCTCCATTTAACCTGCCAAATGGCTGACACAAAAGTCTTCCATGTCTTGGAGATGACTCTTAATTATCATAAATTTAATCAGGTGGAGATGTCAAGTGTGCCTGCAGTTCCAAATACAGTATCTTTTTTTAATCCCCAGTATAGTGCTATATTAGTTTCAAGTGTGTGATACAGTGATTCAACAATTCCATACATCACCGGTGCTCATTACAACAAGTGCACTCCTTAATCCCCATCTTCTATTTCACCCATCCCCCCATGGATCTCCCCTCTGGTAACCATTGGTTTTTCTCTATAGTTAAGAGTCTGTTTCTTGGTTTATCTCTCTCTCTCTCTTTTTTCTTTACTCATTTGTTTCTTAAATTCCACATATGAGTGAGATCATATGGTATTTGTCTTTCTCTGACTGCCTTGTTTCTCTTAGCATTATACTGTCTAGCTCCACCAAATATAGTATCTTTACTAGAGCAACCACCAAACACCCTGGCAGCTGGTATGTAACAGTTAATATAGGAAATTTTTCCTTTTCTATTCCCATCAATAAAGATTGACAGACAAAAAAAAAAAAAAATGGTGCTGTAAATTTTTATCAGTTGACATGAAGAGGTGTTCACAATATCTTCTTTTCTTTTTTTTGAGAAAGAGCGCATGACAGCGTGAGCAGGGGTGAAGCGGGGAGAGGGGAAGCGGGGAGGGGCAGACGGAGAGGAGAATCCCAAGCAGTCTCCGTGCCTAGAGCAGAGCCCAATGCAGGGCTTAATCCCATGACTCTGACATCATGACCTGAGCCGAAATCAAGAGTCGGATGCTCAGCTAACTGAGCCACCCAGGTGCTCTGATGTTCACAATATCTTACTAAGAAAAAGCAGTTTACGATACAATATGTATCGTATGATCCCATTTTTTTTTAAGATTTTATTTTTAAGTAATCTCTACACCCAACATGTGGCTTGAACTTAAAACCCCAAGATCAAGAGTCGCGTGCTCTATGGACTGAGCCAGCCAGGCACACCTAATATACATTTTTTTATATACATAGACGTTTGAAAGATTATTCACCAAAATGTTAATAGCAGTTATTTCTGGGTGGTGGGACTGTGGGATTTTTTTGTACTTGTATTAGCATTTTACAATGAAGATGTATTGCTTTTATAGTCAGAGGGGGGAAAATGTTTTAAAAAATGTATCTTTTGGGGCGCCTGGGTGGCTCAGTTGTTAAGTGTCTGCCTTCGGCTCAGGTTATGGTCTCAGGGTCCTGGGATCGAGTCCCACATCGGGCTCCCTGCTCTGTGGGAAGCCTGCTTCTCCCTCTCCCACTCCCCCTGCTTGTGTTCCCTCTCACGCTGTGTCTCTCTCTGTCAAATAAAACCTTTAAAAAAAAAATATCTTTTGGGGCGCCTGGGTGGCTCAGTTGGTTAAGTGTCTGACTCTTGATCTCAACTCAGGTCTTGATCTCAGGGTCGTGAGTTTAAGCCCTGCATTGGGCTCCATGCTGGGCATGGAGCCTACTTAATAAAAAAAAAAGTAAAAAATTAAAAAAAAACTATATACCTTGATATATATTAAAAATGCTGCAGTTAATATTCTCATGCACTGTCTTTGTCCATTTTCTGATTATTTCTTCAGGATAGTTTCCTAAAAGTAGAATTGCTCTATTGAAGGATGCAAACATTTATGTTTCTTACCTTATAACACCAACTTCCTTCCTAAAAGTCATGGTGGTTTTTAACGCTGGATGAAGTGTGCTAGAAAAAATGTTATTAGATGGTGCTTACTTTAATTATCTTTGATTTAATAAAAGTTAATCTTTATTCAGGCTTAAGCCTTTGAGCTAGCTCGCAGAATTCCTGCCCTCTTATTGATTTGAGAGAGGCATCAGGAATGAGGGTGGGAATGGGTACAAAGGGCCTTTGCACAAATGATTTCCACTTTGACTATAGCCTAGGTCACCTGAGGCTTTCTCCTGTACCCCCAGCCCTGCAGTGCCTCCTTGGAGCTCCCGGGAGCCCAGAGCCCAGTGTCCAGGATGCTAAGGCCCGACTGCAAATACAGATACAAATACTTTGCTGATGTCTTTTGGAGCAAATCTGACATCATTTCATTTCCCCGTAAACACCTCATATGCCTCCACCACCACCACCGTCACCCCCAACAAAACAGCTGTCCCTTGATGTACCCTAGTACCTTGTCTGTGTTCACTCCCTTCCCTCCATGGCTTTTTAAAATTGGTTAGTTCAGATCAGGATCCGAAGTCCATTTACTGCATTTGGCTTATGTACCCCAAGTCTCCGTAAGAGTTCTGTCTTTTTTTTTATGCCATTTATTAGAGAACTCCGGTCTGGAATTGGCTGATTGCTTCCTCCTGGTTGCATTAAACCTTCTTTCTCCTGCCTTTTTCTGAATGGATTGTAGTTCAGGGACGGCTCACGGTTGATGAGGAAGTGTTCTTGAGAGAAGAATCACAGCGCATAAATGCAGGAAATGTCGAAAGGCACTTATTTAAAAGTCCTGATAAAATAATGAATCCAGGCAACGATCGTTACCACGGGCTGCTCCAGTGGCTGCGCCGATCGGTCCACGAAAGGTCCACGAAAGCACGGCAGGAACGCCACACATCAGGGATCAGCCAGCAACACCTGGGCCTGCCCCAAAGCCCACGCTGTGGAAGCAGAGGGATCAGCCTCGACGCACCTGGAAGGCACAGGCAGCAAGCAACACTCTCAAGTGTCCTTGCCCCCACCCCCCAAACCTGAACCTGAATGATCAAGCCTCAGGTCAGGCAGCATTCTCCCTGGGCGCTGGCCACTTGACTGCTTCTCATTATTTTCATCACAATCTGTGTGGGTTTTTTTGTTGTTGTTAAGAAAAAACTCCCCGCTAAATTTCTAATTTCTCAGTAAGACGTGCTCATCGTTTGAAACTGACACACGGAAGTAAAGACAGCGATGGGGAGGAAGGGCCGGAGCGTGGGCTGAGTGTGGAGGTGGCTGCTGATCCCTCGTCTGCAACGTTCCTGCCTGGCTGCTTTCAAACCTGTATGTGTCTGGTCCTGGTCAGGTCCTAAGTCCAGTGGGGCACAAACATCAACTAGACACAGATCTGTCAGGTGGCAAGCTTAGCAGCTCTAAGGACAGACAAGAGGCCTCCTAAAGTCACCTTTTTGGGGCACCTGGCCGGCTCAGTCATAAGAGCACGTGATTCTTGATCTCGGGGTCGTGCATTCGAGCCCCACGTTGGGTGCAGAGATTACTTAAATAAATGAAACTTAAAAAGAAAAATAAAGTCACCTTCCTGAAATTTGTGCGCACAGCGAGCCGAGGAGACCAAAAAGGTGAAGAAATGCCTGCCAGAAACCCCCGGGCTCTGACAGCTCCTTGGAGCACCATCCGAGAGTCTGAGGGCTTCCTCCCAGGGTGGAGGTGTTGGGACACAGCCTTTCCTCAGTTCTGCTCCAGAGTCCCTAGGAGAATTCCCAGGCTGTAGGTGACCTTGCCTACAGCGAGAGGCTGCCCTCGAGCCCTCGCCATAAATCCTACCTGCCTGGTTTTCTTCTAGCTGGTCCTTGCCCTTACAAGCCTTCCTGTTGTGTCTTCTGGAACCTTCGCTCCTCCCTGAAAGGCTCCTTTTTACGCCCTCGTCTGCCTGAAACCTGGCTCTTTCCCAGGACCGCAGTTCCCCTCCCATCCCCATGTAGAGCCTGGTCATGCTCCCCCGTCACACATGCCACAGGGCCCAGAGGTGGGGCCAGCAGCCTGCTAGCCACTCGGGTTTGCCATTCACACCTTTGTTCTTCTCTGCGGCCAGCCGGTTCTGCCCCACTTCTGCCTCCCACGGCCACGGCCACACCTCTGCCACCTGGGACTGCAGCCGTGACTCCTGGTACCTCCCTGCTCTTCACCCCACGGGACCTGTGCACTTTGGGCTCCTTTTACTGCTGCCTTCTCTCCTGTTCACTTTCCTCTGCTCCAGCCAGGCCTCGCTGCCATGGCAACCCCTTTCCTGGTGGAAGTTTCCGGCCCTTGCCTTCCATCACCGCTGCCTGCACTAGGGCCTTGTGCGAGTCCCGGTCCACCCCCTCCCACCATCCGGCACTCAGCTGTCACAGGAGACCCCTACTTCATCACCTCCTCGCCCCTTTCAGTAGACTGCCTCACCTCCTACGTCCCAGGTCCGACAGAGGCTGCAGCAGGAGCCCCTCCTAAAATTACCCATGTCCACACTCGCCAGTGGCCCCTTTCTTCCCGTCTGGGAGGAGGAAGGGCCCATCTTCCCTGCAGCGTGACTCAGGGCTGTCCTCCCACGGGGCCTTTGCTCTCTCAACTGAGTCCTTAACCTGTTACCCCTGCCCCTTCCCTCTCAGCGTATAAATCACTCAAGCTTCTTCTGTATTAAAATAATAACAGTGTCATCATCTTCTGCTCTGTATCCCTACCTCGCTATGACCCTCCTTCCCTGCTCGGACAGACATCCTAAGAGAAGGTCTGTTCTTTCCATCACCCCTTCCCTCTCTCCTACCCGTGCCTCCCCCCTCTGCATTCCCACTGTCCTTGGCACTCAGTCCCTCTGTTGCTCTGGCTTTGTTAAGCTTGAAAAAAATTCCCCTAAAGGACTCTCTAGCCGTCTTGTCTGCAGACTCTGTTCTCCCCTCCCTGCAGTTATTTCTTCAAACGCTGCTCCTTGTATCCCAGTTACAAGGACCTGCAGATGGACTGACAGAATTGCCCAGTTTGTCCCTTGTGATAATCATATTTCTTAAGGTCACTTCCATGTTTAATAATGTTTTTCATTCACAGGGAGAAACAACATGTTCCTCAATATGAATCTAGAAGGGAGGGTTTCCCCAGGCTGATGGGAGGAAAGAGCTGATAGGCATCATGTTAGGAAAGTTCTGTGCAGGGTGCGTGGGTGGCTTAGTCAGTTAAGCATCTGCCTCTTGGTTTCGGCTCAGGTCATGATCTTGCGGTCATGAAATCGAGCCCCGTGCCAGGGTCAAGCCCCACATTGGGTGTAGAGCCTACTTAAAAAAAGAAAGAGACAGTAGGAGGGAGGGAGGGAGGGAAGGAAGGAAGGAAGGAAGGAAGGAAGGAAGGAAGGAAGGAAGGAAAGTGGTCTAGACTAGGAGGAAGGCAAGGCATGACCTATCTAACCAGCGAGCCTGTATCTCAAAACCGCATCAAAGGAAACAGGATGTCCTAGAACACTGATTATGTTTGTTGATGAGACCAGAGAGCATAAAGAACATGGATGAAAAAAATAAAAAACCGAGGCTCCTGGGTGGCTCAGTGGGTTGAGCATCTGACTCTTGATCTCGGGGTTGTTCTCTCAACCCACGTGGAGCCTACTTAAAAAAAAAAAACAAAAAACCTGTTAGGGCAGGCCCAGATGTCTCTCCTGCTTGATGTCACCTGCACGTTGACAGATCTTTCCATCAGGTCAACATAGCAATGTGCTAGAAGCACCTCCCAGCCCCTCATCCAGGGTAGGATGACTTACCTCTACAAGGCCAAACTCTCCCCTTGGATTTACTAATTATGGGGTTCTCTTTGCCCCAATTTTCAATGCCAGTGGGGCTCAGTATGCCAAGGAGGCCCTTCCCTTAGTACAGATGGAGAACTGGGATGGTGATTGCGACCCCTCCTCAACCCTGGGCTCTTGGGGCAGGGAAGGTGGCGGGAATTAAGATGACAAAGAACGGACGGTAGAGGGGCCATCTATCTGGCCCTTCCTCCACGGAGAAGTGGGATTTTCAGGCTATCCCCCAAGTTCCAGACACACGTGGGGATAGTGTGCGGCAGGCCCACCATTCTGAAGCCCAAGTAGAGAAAGATTACCAGTATCCCGAATGCCATCCTTCAAACTCATCCTGAGAGCGAGTCTGGGGGAAACAGCTGGAATGCATCCGTCAGGTGTGTTGCTGACAGGGGGGTCAGTCACTGCTAGTGCCTCGGGCTTCTGTCTTTCAGATGGAGGCTCCGTAGTGAAGGCCCGGGTGCTGACTTGTGTGGAAGGAATGAACCTACCCTTGTTAGAACAAGCCGTCCGGGAGCAGAGGAGGTACCAGCAAGAGAGGGACAACAGCCAGTAGCAAATGGCAGTTCCTGGCAGCCGTCCCCCCCCAGCCTGCTCCTGAGGCCAAGCCCACTGGAGATGTCTGAGCAGAGAAGATGCAGGACCTTCCCCAGAGTGACAGCCTTTTTCTGGAGCTGGACCGAAGAGGAGGGGTTGCTAATTTGGATTGTTCTGGACACCTCCCCGCCCCCAGGAGCCTGCCGGAGGCTGAGCTGTGGGGTGCTGGGGCCTGAGCCTCGAGTGGGAATATGGAGGGTTCTGGAAGGTCCTCATGAATAAAGGCCCCAGTGGGGGAGACCTTGTGTTGTGTGCACGTGGTGCAGCGCCGGAGGGGGCCAGGAGGGGGAGCTGTAGAGCAGGCAGCCTGCCAGCAGTGAGGCCCCAGGAGCACAGGGTTTCTGGTGAATTCTGGGCTGGGGTTTGTGGGAGGGGTGTTAGGGGCCCCCAGGGCTGGGGTGGTGGGCTTAGGGTGCAGGGGGGCTGCCCCCACCGAAGTTCTGCCCTCAGAGGAGGCCGAGCGTCCCCAGACAGTTGGGGCACAGCCCCTCACCCTGGCCATGCGGCCTAGGGCAGGAGTGTGGCTCCAGAAACCCTTCCCAACCCCTGACTCCTGCCCCGGGGCTGACTCCAGCACCCCCAGGCTGCCCTTCTGGGTAGCCTTCACCCCCCAGAGCTAGGGCCGAGGCAGGGGATCTGCTGAGAAGTTTGGGCCCTCCTGCACTCCGTAGCCGGGGCACCTTCCTGCCTGGGCTGGGCGGGCTCCTGGGGATGGGGGGGGCGGGGGGCAGAGGCGGGCCTGGGCCCGGGTGGGGGCTGGGCAGGGTGTTCTGTGGGGGCTGGAGGGGCGGCAGGGGTGCTGGGTGTGGTGGTGAATGCCCCAGGCGCCCTCTGTTTCCTGGGCAGCTCTGCGGCTATGGATGTGTTCCAGAAGGTGGAGAAGATCGGAGAGGGCACCTATGGGGTGGTGTATAAGGCCAAGAACAAGGAGACAGGGCAGCTCGTGGCCCTCAAGAAGATCAGGCTGGATTTGTGAGTGCCGCCACGGCCCCTGAGACACCCTGCCCCGGGGGTGACCCCGTCCCTCACCTCCACGTCTGAGGGTGCCCCGGGCGGCCCTCACTGTCCGCATTCCGGCCGCGCCTTGCCCGGGGCCCTTGGTGGTGTCAGGAGGTGCTGGGGAGCACAGTGCCCCCTTGCTGGGGGGCCAGGCCGTTCTTACGGAATACGGAACTCACGGGTGCCGCCCCCGGGGCAGAAGCACCCTTCCTGGTTCGCTGCCTCCACTGCTGTCCGCTCCTTCCCTGCAGGGAAACGGAGGGCGTCCCAAGCACGGCCATCAGGGAGATCTCCCTGCTCAAAGAGCTTAAGCACCCCAACATCGTCAGGTGAGCTGGGGAAAGACGTGGGGAAGCTGGGCCTGTCGCAGTCCTGCTGGGAGCCGCGTGGTGACTGGTGTCCCCCCGCCAGGCTGCTGGACGTGGTGCATAGTGAGAAGAAGCTTTACCTGGTGTTTGAGTTCCTCAGCCAGGACCTGAAGAAGTACATGGACTCCGCCCCAGCCTCCGAGCTGCCCCTGCACTTGGTCAAGGTAGCGAGGGAAGGACGGGGAAGGCAGTGAAGGCCCTGCTCAGCCAGCCCGTCTTCCGCTCAACCAGCTCCTTCTTCCGCTTCGCCTCGGCAGAGCTACCTCTACCAGCTGCTGCAGGGGGTGAATTTCTGCCACTCACATCGGGTCATCCACCGCGACCTGAAGCCCCAGAATCTGCTCATCAATGAGCTGGGTGCCATCAAGCTGGCTGACTTTGGACTGGCTCGAGCCTTCGGGGTGCCCCTACGCACCTACACCCACGAGGTGCTGCAGGACAAAGCGGGGGAAGGAGCACCGCTGAAGGGCTATCGCCTGAGCACGCAGCCACCCTGAATGACGCTGTTTTCTTGCCCCCGCAGGTGGTGACACTCTGGTATCGTGCCCCTGAGATCCTCTTGGGCAGCAAGTTCTATTCCACGGCCGTGGATGTCTGGAGCATTGGTTGCATCTTTGCCGAGATGGTAGAGGGAGGGACAAACATGGCCACAGGAGGCCAGGGCCACGTACAGGGTCCTGCTGGGGTGGGGGTGGGACTCTGATTCTGCTGTTGGAGGTGGACTCAGGCGTGTTCGGGACGGGCTACGGGACTAAGGAAGCGAACATTATTCCAGAAAAGGCCGGGATGCTTAGCACAGCCCTGGGAAGGATAGCTTATCTGGGATTGGATTCTGGAGGACAAGGGAGTGGACCCCACACCTCCTCTTCCTCATTTCAGGTGACCCGCAGAGCCCTGTTTCCTGGTGACTCTGAGATTGACCAGCTCTTCCGCATCTTTCGGACCCTGGGGACACCCAGTGAAGCCATGTGGCCAGGGGTCACCCAGCTGCCTGACTATAAGGGCAGTTTCCCCAAGTGGACCAGGAAGGGGCTGGAGGAGATCGTGCCCAGTCTGGAACCAGAGGGCAAGGACCTGCTCATGGTAGGTACGGGTGGGAGGCAGCGGAGGACCAGACAGGCTGCTGCGCCCACCGGAAGTGCCTCCTTGTCAGCCAGCCCCTTGTCACCCTAGCTCCTCCTGAGTCCAGCTGGTCTCTTTTCTGACCCCTGAACACAACTAGTTTGTCTCTGTCCCTGTGCATCCTGATTGTTCAACCTCGAGGCCCCACCCCTGTTAAGTCCAGCATTCATGTTTCCTTTTAAAACTTCTTTCTTCTGGGCGCCTGGGTGGCTCAGTTGGTTAAGCGACTGCCTTCGGCTCAGGTCATGATCCTGGAGTCCCGGGATCGAGTCCCACGTCGGGCTCCCTGCTCAGCGGGGAGTCTGCTTCTCCCTCCGACCCTCTTCCCTCTTGTGCTCTCTATCTCTCATTCTCTCTCTCTAATAAATAAAATCTTTAAAAAAAAAGTTAAAAAAAAAACCTTCTTTCTTCTGGTTAGCTCTGTTTTTATGCTGTGATGATAAGCAGGGACCCCGATGCGGGGCTCAATCCCAGGACCCCGGGATCATGACCTGAGCCTAAGGCAGACGCTTAACTGAGTCACCCAGGCGCCCCATATGTACTGTTTTTCCATAAGCTTTCGCAGGCAGGGAGCATGCCTCCCTCCACAATAGTTGCTCCTCACATGAGGCTGTTCCCTGCTGTCTGGGCCCCTGCCACAGTCTGAGCTCACCTGTCCTGTTGCACCATCCTGACCCGGTGGGCTGGCCCAGGCCAGACTGCCCCGAAGGCCTCAGGCAGGGCCATCCGTTGCCCACAAAGACTCGGAGCCACATCTGCCTCTAATCTGGTGTTGGGCCAGAGGAAGGCAGGGCAGTATTTTCATCTTCCCAGACACCTGTGAATGTCTACCAAGCCAAGGCCAGCAGGATGGCGTATGCCTCCAGCCAAGGCTCTTAGCGCTCCGTCCTGGCTACTCCCGGGCAAGGGGTCCTTCCACAGCCTAGCTGGGGCTTAGGGACTCTGAGTTCCTGCCCCACCCTCAAGTATGCTCCCGAGGCAGCTTTGGCCCTCTCCTTCCTGATACGTGGAGAGAGGTCTGTCTCAACCAGAAGTAGGCAGAGGCCTGGGAACCTCAGGTAGGAAGACGACAGACGGACTCAGCCTCTAGTCTGCGGGAGGTGGGGATGACTTCCCAGGCCGGCCTAGAACTAGTTCTTTGTCCCCAGATTCCGGGAGCAGCTAGAACTGGCTCGAGAGCCGGGAGATAGTGGTTACACACGGTTCTGGTTTGAAGGCAGATGCTCGGGAGCTTGGAGCCCGCCACCTGGGGCCTGGAGGGTAACTCCTCTCCGGGCCTGGCCACACCAAGGCTCAGTCTCTTTCCTCCTTCCTCCACAGCAACTCTTGCAGTACGACCCCGGCCGGCGGATCTCAGCCAAGGCTGCCCTTGTGCATCCATACTTCTCGTCCACGGAGACCTCCCCAGCCCCCCACCAGTACGTGCTGGAGCGGTTCTGCCGCTGAGAAGGCCGGAGCTTCCCAGCCTCTCTCCAGCCTCCCCATCCCCTTCCCAAGAAAGAGAGCGTTATCTGGGAGAGAGCAAAGCTCTGAGGAATTTGGCCTCACCCGCCAAGGGGGCTGAGTTTGGGTTAGTTCTGCCCCCACATTAGCAAGTTCCCGTGTTGTTGGTTGGGTTTGACGATGCCATTTCGAGATGGGGGCACGGAAGCTCCGTGCACCGGGGGTAGGGGGTACGTTAGAGACTTCGTCCCCTGGCTCTGGAACAAGTCGCGAGGAGAGCGCGAAGCCTGCCCCACCTGGCGGCAAGGCGGAGCCAGACACCCCCCACCCCGGAAAGGGTGCCCCCTGCTGGTCTTTATGGCTTTAAAATGTTTTTTGGGGAAGAGTTGCATTCCAGTGAAGAGTCCAAGTTAAACAGGAAGCGAGGGCAAGGGAGAGAGAGGACATTTTCCCGATCCCAGGGTGGGTGAGGGTTTGCGTGGTGGTTCTGAGTTGTTGTCTCATATTTAGGATATGCTTATGTTCATTCGCCTCCGGTTATAAGAACAGTAAATAAAAGTGATGTGTTCCTGAGTTTGCCAGTGTTTTTCTCCTCAAGGGGTTACCAGGGACTTGCTGACAAGGGGGAGGTGGACAGAGGGCTGGAGACAGTTCCTGGCCCGAACTGAGAGACCCAGAACAGAGGTGGTGGGGAGGGACTGTTCATGATCTTTCCGTGACCTGCCAACGCACCCCTCCCAGAGTCAAGGGAGCCGAAGCCCCTGGAAGCACCTGTTCCCTCGGCAGGGCCAGTCGGGCGTGTCCACTTCCCACCTGGGAAGGACCCCCAGCCACGCTGCCCCTTGTGCTCATGGCTCAGACAAATCAATTCTGTGTTCCCAAACGTGAACTAGACGCTGGAAGAACTCGTTTATTGGAAGCACTGGGTGGGGGAGGGGGGAGGAAAAACATGTGCTGATCTCGGGGTCTGGGGATGGACTGGGCAGCAGAGTTGGGGGGGGGCCCAACATCGCAAACTTCTGAGTAATAGCACCGCGATCAAAGGGAAGACCTGCCCTTTGGATCAGGCTGCTCTGGGGGTGAGGGGTGCCCGCCGTCCGCCCGCCCCCACCCCACGCACTCCCCATGACTGCTTGGCCCCATCAGCGCAGCACCCGGGGGGAGGCGGGGCGGTAGCAGCGGTACCCCTCCAGCGCGGCTGGGAGCAGCAGCAGGCCGCTCAGGGGGTCTCTCCGGCAGCGCCCCATGGCCTCCTTGTAGCTCATCCGTTCCTTGGAGATGGGGTCTGTCAGATCCTTCCCGTAGCTGGACTCATCCTGCAGGAGCTGGGCCAGCTCTTCGCTAATCATTCCGGAGAGCACGGCCTGAGGGACAGGGATGCGGCCGGTCCTCTTGGGGTCGATGAGCCCCCCGGTCAGGTGCTGCACCTGCAGGTGTGGGAGCACGCTCTCCTGCGGCATCCAGCCCTTCTGGATGGCCTCGCCCATCGACAGCCTCTTCTTGGTGACGGGATCCTCAATGCCAGTGAAGGCCTTCTGGGCGTTGAGCAGCCTCTGAGTCGAAGTGTTCTCGACCAGCCCCCTCTCCATAGCCTTGTGCACGGAGTAGCGCTCCCGGCTGAGGAGGTCCACGATGCCCCCTGTGGCCGCCTGGGCCTCCAGCAGCTTCTGCCCCGTGATGGGGTCCAGCATGTTCTTGGCCACGGCCGTCTTGACGGTGCATTTGTTGTCTGTGGTTGTGTCGTAGATGCCAGCGATGGGGAAGCTGTCATCGCTGAGCCCGAGAGAGACCCTGGGAGAGAAGCAGCCGGGGCCCTGGGGGGCTGGGGAGGCGAGTGGGGACTTGGAGATGATGGAGCCAATGGAGAGCGAGGAGCAGGGCTTGGTCTCCCCGGCCACGAGCAGCGCGAACTCAGAGATGGGGAGGTGGCCGTCCTTGTAGAGATGGTACTCCTCCTTGGAGATGCGCCGGCAGCGCAGGGCGGCCTCGATGGAGTACTGCGTCCCGCTCTTGCGGTCCAGGAGCACGGACTCCTCGCCACAGGGGCCCGAGGTGGTGACCTCCTCCCAGTCGCACTCGAGCTCCTGGAGCTGGAGGTACTGGCCTCGATCGATGATGCCCCTCTTGTAGGCCTCGTACGGGGACATGTCCTTCCCTGTCTCAGGTTCGAGGATGGAGATCTTGGTGGAAAGGTTGGTCTCTCGCGTCTGGGTCTCCTGGTTGAGCTCCTCCCTGCTCACCTTGGCGTGGAGGTCCCGGAGGGTCCTCTCCTTCTCGTAGATCTGGTCCTTCTCGCGGAGGATGGCCGCCTCGAGCTGCGAGAGCTCCTGGCCCTGCTGAGCGGCCTTCTGCCGCTCGCTCTCTGTCCTCTGGGTGAGCAGCTGCGCCTCCTCCTGCAGCTGCAGCACTCTCCGCTCCTTCTGCCTCTCCAGCTCCCGCAGCTCCTGCTGCAGCTGCCTGCGCTCCTGGTCCGCCTGGTCCCGGGCCCTCTGGAGCTCAGCCTCCTCCCGGGCCCAGGTCCTCCCCAGTGCCTCGGCCCTGTCCAGCCGCTCCCGGAGGTGCCGCACCTCCTCCTCCCGGCTCTGCCGGGCCGAGCGCTCCCTGTTAAGCACCTCCCACGCCCGGGACCGCTCGCCCTCCAGCACCCGGTCCTTCTCCACCCTGATCACTTCCTTGTAGATGGTCTTCTCTTGTGACTTGGTGGTCTGGAGGACGTTGATCTGGACCTGCAGGTTCTTGCACTCCCGATGCAACTCTGTTACCTGGGTCTTCTCCTGGTCCAGGTCCTGCCGCAGGGCTTCCGTGGACTTCTCCAGAGCCGGGTCCTTCTCTAGCTTGACCACCTCCTCCATGATGATCTTCTCTTGCACCATGGGAGGCCGCTTCTCGAGCTCCTGGATCCTCAGGGTCAGCTGCCGCAGCTCCCTCTCCACAGCCAGCTTCTTGCTCCGGTCCTCCTGGAAGCTGAGCAGGCTCTCCTTCTCCTGCACGCCGGCCCGGAGCTGTTGCACCTCCCGCTCCAGCTGCCGCCGGCGGCCCGCCTCCTCGTCCAGGCTCCGGCTCAGCCGGCTGTGGTCCTCGCGGAGCTTCGGGTCCTTCTGAGTGACCACCACCTCCTGCACCACCACCTTCTCCTCGGGCCGCCTCCTCTCCAGCAGCAGGTACCTGTTCTGCAGCTCGTGGACCACGTCCTCGGCAGCCCGCCTCTTGTGGGTGGCTTCTCGCACCTCCTGGCGCAGCCGCTCGGCCTCCTTCTCCAGGACTGGGTCCTTCTCGTGGCGCACCACCTCCTTGTTCACCGTCTTGGTCTCCACCTTGGCCCGCTCCCGCTTCCATTCATCGCGCTCCCCCTGCAGCCGGATGAGCTGCTCCTGGGCCCGCCCGCTGCCGTTGACCAGCTCGTTGAGCTGGGCCTTCAGGCGGTCGATCTCCCGCAGCACCTCGGGGCTCCTCTCGTGCTTCACCACCTCCCGTGTCACCTCCTTGTACTCCACCACGGGCTTCTGGGCCCGGAGGGCGGCCAGGTCGGGCAGCAGCCCCTCCACCTCCTGCTCCACGTGGCTCCTTTTGCTGGCCGTCTCTTGCAGCTGGGCCCGGAGCCGCGTGATCTCCTGCTGCGTCTCGGGAGCCACCTGGAAGGTCTCGTGGACGCGCTCCTGGAGCTCTACCTTGGGCTTCTGCTTCTCCACCACGCTGTACTTGCCACGCAGGTCCTCCAGCTCCCGCGCCAGTGTCGCGTTCCTGCTCCTGGCCTCCGCCAGGAGGCTCCTCAGCCTGGACGCCTCTTCGAGAAGGCTTGGGTCCTGCTCCACCTTCTTCACCTCCTTCACGATCACCTTGGGCTCCACGGCACCGATCGCACGCTCTAGGTCTTCAATGCGAGCCTGCAGCTTGGCCACAGCCTCGACGGCCGCCTTCCTCTGCCCCATGTCCTCCTCCAACTGCCGCCTCAGGGCCTGGGCTGCCTTGAGCATTTCCAGGTCCTTCTCCACCTTGACCACTTCTTTCACCACGACCTTCTCCTTCACGTTCGGCGCCTTCTGCTCCAGGGCCAGCAGCTCTTTCTTTAGCACCTCTAGCTGGGCCGAGACGGTGGCGTTCTCCCCCCGCAGTTGCTGGATCTCGCCGCTGAGCTGGGCCGCCTCGCTACTCAGGCTGGGGTCCCTCTCGATCTGGGTGACCTCCTTGGTCAGCAGGTGAGGCTGCATGGCCCTCCTCTTGCTCTCCAGCTGGACGACCTTCTGGGCCACCATCTCCAGGTCTGCCTGCAGGCCGGCCCGCTTCTTGCCTTCATCCTCCACCTGGGACTTCACCTTGGACAGGCTGCTCTCCAGCTGGGGGTCCCGGTAGAACTCCACCACTTCCTTCTCTTCCAGCCTCTCCAAGGGCCGCTGCGTCCTCAGCTGCAGCAGCTGGTTCCTCTGCTCCTCCAGCTCCTGTTGCACCTGTGCGACCCGCTTCCTCTCCTCCTCCAGCTGGGACTTCAGGGCCTCGGACTCCCTCCCTGCTCCGGCCGGGCCCTCAGACCCCTGCCATGTGTCATGGGTCATCTGGATGTCCTCACTGAGCTCCTTCTGCAGAGTGAGAGGAAGAAGGGAAGAGTACTGGAGCAGCGGGGGAGGAAAGGGATGAGCCCCATTTCCACCAGCCCCACCCCACCCTGAGATCGGAGACCCCTCCCTGCTTCCTGAGACTTCCGGTAGGTCCCAGGAGTGGGAGCCACAGACCTGAGGGGCTTGGATGCAGGATTTTGAGAGGACCCCTCAGCCCCACGATGTTAGGATGCAAGGCAACGTTCGGGCGGGGTTTGCACTAGAACATGCAAACAGGACAGGTCTCCTTTCCAAACCTTTCCCCTCCCCCTCCCCTTCCATCCAGGCTCCCGGATATGGGCCCACGTCTCCTCTGGGGTACTCCTCTGGGTAGGAGAAAGCTGGCAAGTCCCTCAGCCAGACACCAAGAGTCACAGAGGGCTTCTGTCTCCTGGCGCCCCCGGCATGGAG